CGGAGACACACACACACACACACACACAAATAAAAAGAAAATGTCGACGGCAGCTGGAGAGGAGCACCGGAGGGCGACCCGCGCAGTGCAGAAACAGGGGCAAAAAGTAAACGGGGGACAGACGGCAACAAAAGGAGGAAGCCCGCTCGCTCTTTTTCTCTCGCAGCCTGTACGGTCTGTGGCCAACGGTGCACACAACGCGGCTCGTAGGGGCACTCACCGTGGCAAAGTGCCGCCGCGCGAAAATGAGCCACCGCCGTTTTGTTTTCTCGTCCTCCCGCATTCCGTGCGTGCGTGTTGTGTGGCCACCGACGCCATCCTTCTTCTCTTCGTGGACATGCTCCGTGTGGCCCGCGGCCCCGTCCTCTTTCTCCTTATTGCCGTCACATGATGCATTCACATATTTGGACGCCTTTTCAACTGGAACCCCCTCACGTGAGAGGTGGGAGGCGCCCACGTGCTCCCGCGCGTCATCTGGCGCGTCGTGAGAAACGATGGGGGAGGAGCGCCGCTGCTCCGAGCCCCCCCCCCCCCCGAAGCGGGGCCTTGTTGGGTGTGGCCCGCAGGTTTTCGTCCACGGCGGCGCAGGGTGCTGGCAGGATCGCCTCCTGGCGTGGGTCCGCGTGCACAGCGCCGTTGCGGCTTGGGTGCGGGTTCTTCAAGTTAACGGCGGCCTCAACGTTCGCCTCGGCAGCGCCGTGCCCGTTGCTCTTTCCAGCGACGCCCGGCTTCTCGCCCGCCGCAATGGCCAAGTCGCCGCTGGCGTCGTGTGCGTTTGCCGCGGAGTTCAGCATGCCGTCCGCCTGGGGGCGCATCTCCGGGGCCCCGCCAGAGACACTCGTCGTTGCCGACGCCTTTTCCGCGTTGGCCAAGAGAAAGAGAAAAGGGGACAAAAAAGGAAGGCAGCACAGTAACAGCACGGCGCACCCCTCACTGCCAGGTGCGTGCCCACAGCGCCCGCACTCCGCACAACCCATGAGGACCACGCAGCCACGGTAGGGCAAACGCGCCGCGTGGCCTCACAGCGCGACAGAGTCGCCTTTTTATCCACACCCCAGCCACCAACCCCCTTTTTCCATCCCCGCGACTTTCCCGTTCTTTCCAGCACCAGGCCGATTGACGTCTTTTATTCCATATGCTTCCCAGCAGTTAAAATAAAAAATATATATATACATAGCAATTCAAACCTCACCTGCCCAGCTTCGTATACATAGTTCCTGGCACAGTTCCCTCAAAGCAAGTGAGCCTTCCAGTGCGGCTCGAAATGCTCCGTTGCATGTGTGTCGTGCCAGAATAGGACAGAAAAGGGCGGTGACACACTGCATGGGCTCTACACCACCACGCACATGTTGACACACTTGCTCTTCGCCTTCTCCGTGGCCAGCGACTGCAGGTTGGCACCCGAAGAGTCCGGCTCCTTGTCGTCCTTCTTCCCCTTCTCCTTGCCCGCAGCCGCAGCTGCCTTTGCTGCGCCGGTGACGGCTGACTTTAGTGCGCCCAACGGGAGGGCCGAGAGTGGAATGCCCGTGGAGTCGAGAGCCATGTCCACTGCGGCCCCCAGCGCTTGCTTCCCCAGTGCAGAGAAGCGACCGGCGCCTGGGATGCCTCCGAACCCCTTTGCGGTTGCTTTGGGGATTTCCTTGTCTGCCTGGTCTTGGGCCTCAGGCAACGCCGTGGCCTCGTCCTTTCGCGGATCATGCATGTCGATGTCGTCCTCCCCTTTCCCTTTGTCGTCGTCGTTGCACTCCGCGATTGCCGCCGCCGCCTCCTTGCGGAGCTGTGCGCCGACGGGGTCCTCGCCGTGGGGGTTTTCTTGGTTGGCGATGATCGCCCGCACCTGCTCCGCGGCCGCCGCCACCTTCGCCCCGCTGTCGCCCGTGATGCGGACCTTTGGGCCCCCGACGACCTCGACCCTTGCGCCGGTTGAGTCCTGCAGCCCCTTGAGCGTCGCCCCGCCCCTGCCGATGAGGTGCTCCACCTGCACCTGCGTGACGTCGATCACCTCCACCCCCATTGCGTTCTACGGTTTTGCCCGCGCCCCTTCGCTTGCCTTGCGGAGACACACACACACACACACACACAAATAAAAAGAAAATGTCGACGGCAGCTGGAGAGGAGCACCGGAGGGCGACCCGCGCAGTGCAGAAACAGGGGCAAAAAGTAAACGGGGGACAGACGGCAACAAAAGGAGGAAGCCCGCTCGCTCTTTTTCTCTCGCAGCCTGTACGGTCTGTGGCCAACGGTGCACACAACGCGGCTCGTAGGGGCACTCACCGTGGCAAAGTGCCGCCGCGCGAAAATGAGCCACCGCCGTTTTGTTTTCTCGTCCTCCCGCATTCCGTGCGTGCGTGTTGTGTGGCCACCGACGCCATCCTTCTTCTC